GAAAGATATTTATTTCTAGAAGTCCCATGATAAAATGTGTGTGGTCTCCTCATGAGTAGTGTTTTACAATCAAGTTCTGGTGGGCAACCCAATGTAATGTCAATCACCTACATTGTTTGGAATATCTCTGAGACAGTCCTCCAACAACTTGAGGAGAAATATCTAGCACATAGTCTCTTTTTCAATCTCTCTTTTGACATTCTATGGCCTCTTGAAGGATCATTATCCCTGATGTATGGTAACTCCATTTAAGTGTGTGTGTGTGTGTGTGTGTGTGTACATAATGTTCATAAAATAATAGTTTTACATATGGCTTTTTCTATTTGTTTTGTGTTGTATTTTTTTTGTTTTTACTTTAATGAAAATAGATTCTTCTCTTATACAATATATTCTAAGCATTGTTTCCCCTCACTCCACTACTCCCAGCTTACCCCACCAACCTCACATCTTCAAAATCTACTCCTCTCCTCCTCCATTTATGCTTCAGAGCAGGCTTCCAAGAGACAACAACTAAACAGGATAAAACAAGATACAATAAGACAAGGCAAATGCCCTCATATTGAGGCTGAACAAGGCAACCCAATAGGAGGAAATGAGTCCCAAGAGCAAGGAAAAGAATCGGATACACCCACTTGCACTGTCAGGAGTCCCGCAAAAATACCAAACTGACAGCCATAACTTATGTGCAGAGGACCTGATACAGACCCATGCACTTGTTCTTTCAGTCTCTGTGAGCCCATATAAACCCTGCTTAGTTGATTCAATGGGCCATGTTCTCCTGGTGTCCTCCATCCCCTCTGACTCCTACAATCTTTCCTCCCCCTCTTCCATGACATCCCTAGATTTCCTAGGGGAAGGACCCAATAGAGACCTCTAATTTAGACTGCCTTTTTTTTCATAATGTCGGACTGTGGGTCTCTGTACCCAAAGAAGCCTCTCTGATGATGACTAGACAATGAATGGCTCTAGTAGCATAGTAGAATTTCATTAGGAATCACTTCTTTTCCTTCCTCCTTTCCTTCTTTTATTCCTTCCTTCCTTCCCTTTCTCTCTCTTTTTCTTTCTCTCTTTCTTTTTTCTTCCAGTCATGTTTGGGCACTAAGATAGGTCTCTGGGATATCCATTCTCTGGTTCCTGGACATCCAGGCAGTGTACAGTTTGGGATCCCTCTGGTGGCATGAATCTCAAGTTAAACCAAACATTGATTGGCCATTCCCACAAATTCTATACCACCATTACCCCAGCATATTTTCCAGGCAGAACAGATTGTAGTTCAAGAGTTTTGTGGCTGGACTAGTGTCCATATTTCTCTTTCCATAGCCATAAGAGTACCTTCTCAGGTCAAAAGAACTAGAATGTAAAAGTGAAGGCTCCATTCAGGCACCAGCTTGACCTCTCTATATTCAATTAAATGTGTAAATGTCCTTGGCAATGGAGCCCCCTCTTAGTTTTCAGAGAGAGACCTTTTGTTCTAGTCACAGCCTGGGTTGTTTAGGGATCTTCACAGGAACTTCTCTGCCAACAACTCAAATAAGGGCAACCAAGTACCACCACTAGAAGTTTTACCTAGATACAAAAGATGGCCAGTTCCAACTCCATATCCTTCATTACTAAGAGTTCTCACTAGGGACATCCTCATAGATATCAGCAAGTTACCACTGAACTGTTTCCACACCCCCTCCAATACTTCCCAATTCCAGTTGTCTCTCCTTCCATCCCTTCCCCATCCCATCTAATCCTTCCCACTCCCAACACAACCTGCCACAGTCCACCTGCAAAAATTATTCAATTTCAACTTCCCAGGGAGGTCCATGCATCCCCCATGGAGTTTTTCACTTCACCTAACTTCTCTGGGTCAGTGGATTGCAGCTTGATCATCATTTACTTAATAGCTATTATCTACTTACAAGTGAATGCATACCATATTTATCTTTCTTGGTCTGGGTTACCTCATTTGGGATGATCTTTTCTAGTTCCATTCATATGCCTGAAAATTTCATTATGCCATTTTTTTTAACAGCTGAGTCATACTTTATTATATAAACATACCATATTTTCCTTATCCATTCTTCAGTTGAAGAACATCTAGGTTGTTTTAATTTTCTGGCTATTAAGAACAAATTAGTAATGAACATAGTTCAATGAGTATCCTTATGGTACAATGGAGTGTCTTTTGGGTTTATGCCCAGGAGTGATATAGCTGGATCATGAGGTAGAGCAATTCCCAATTTTCTGAGGAACCAACCATATTGATTTCCACAGTGGCTGTATAAGTATGCACTCACTCCAGCAATGGAGGACTGTTTCCCTTGCTCCACATGATCAACAGCATGAGTTGTCACTTGTGTTATTGATCTCAGCTATTCTGAGAGGTATAAGATGGAATCTCAAAATAATTTTGATTTGCAATACCTTGATGGCTAAGGATGTTGAACATTTCTTTAAGTATTTCTCAATCATTTGCAATTCTTCTATTGAGAATTCTCTATTTAGGTCTGTAACTCATTTTTAATTGAATTATTTGATGTTGGGGGCCATGCAAGGAGCAGGCAGTATTGGAATTCATGAAACACACCTAGGTGGTTGGCAAAACCACACCTGACTGAGCCTTGGAGAGTCAAAGCCCAAGAACTACATATCCTAAAGACCTCGTGCTATTATTGCACACAACTCTGATTGTTTCTTTCACAGTCACCACATCCCTCATAATCTATAGATTGTATGAAAACTCTCAGGGGACTGGGACTTCAATTCGATTCTACTGATCAATGTGTCTGTTTTTATGCCAATAACATGCAGTTTTTATTACTATAGCTCTGTAGTACAACTTGAAATCAGGTACTGTGATACCTCCAGCAGTTCTTTTATTGTTCAGATTGTATTAGCTATCTTGTTTTGTTTTGTTTTTCACATGAGGTTGAGAATTTTTCTTTCAAAATCCATAAAAAAATTTTGATAGAATTATGATGAAAATTGCTTTGAATCTACTTTTGGTTGGATGGCCATTTTACTATTTTAATCCTACCAGTCCATGGGCATAGATCTTTTCATCTTCTGATATCTTCTTCAGTTTATTTATTCAAAGATTTTAAGTTTTTATCATACAAGTCTTTCACTTGCCTTTTAGAGTTACCCCAAAGTATTTTATGTTATTTGAGGCTTCTATGAAGGGTGTTGTTTCCTTGATTTCTTTTGCAGTTCATATGTCATTTGGATATAGGATGGCTACTGAATTTTTTGAGTTAGTCTTGTATCCAGCCACTTTGTTCAAGGCTTTATATCAGCTGTAGGATTTCCATAATGGAATTGTTTGGGTCACTTATGCATATTATCATATCATTGCCAAAAAAATCATATTTTGACTTCTTGGTTTCTAATTTGTATCCCCTTGATCTCCTTCAATTATCTTATTTCTCTAGCTAAAACTTCAAATACTATATTGAATATATATGGGGATAGTAGAAATCTTGTCTAGTTCTTGATTTTAGTGGAATTTATTTGTATTTCTCTCCATTTAATTTGATTTTGGCTATAGACTTGATGTAAACTGCCATTATTCTGTTTAAGTATGTCCCTTGTGCCCCTAATATCTCCAGTATCTTTATCATGAATGAATGTTCAATTTTGTCTAAGTCTATTTTGGCATATAATGAGATGCTCATATATGTTTTTCTTTAAGTCTGTTTATATGGTAAATTACATTGACTGATTTTCATATATTAAACCATACCTGAATCTCTGGAATGAAGCCCAATCAATTCTAGTAAATGATCTTTTTCATATGTTCTTGGATTGGGTTGGTAAGTATTTTAATGAACTTTGTTGCATCTATGTTCATAAGGGAAATTAGTCTGTAATTCTCTTCCTTTGTTGAGTCTTTGTGTGGTTTGGGTATTAGGGTAACTGTGGACTTATACAGTGAAATGAGTGATCTTCCTTCTGTTTCTACTTTGTGGAATAATTTTGGGAGTATTGGTATTAACTCTTCTTTGAAAGTCTGGTCGAATTTTCACTAAAACATTCTGGCCATAGGCTTTTTTTTTTTTTTGGTTGGGAGACTTTTAATGAGAGCCTTATTTCCTTAGGGCTAGTAAGTCTGTTTAAATTGTTTATCTATATTCAATTTAACTTTGGTAACTGGTACCTATTGAAAAAATTATCCATTTTTTTTTCATTTTAGATTTTCTAAATCTGTGAAGTACAGGTTTTTAAAATATGTCCTTCTGACTTTCTACATTTCCTCAGTGTCTTTTATGTTCCTCTTTTAATTCTGACTTTATTAATTTGAATATTCTCTCTGTGTCTTTTAGGTAGGTTGGATAAAAGTTTCTCTATCTTGTTGATTTACTTATCATTGAATCATTGATTCTTTGCCTTGTTCTATTTATTTCTTTTTTATTGATTTCAGCCCTGGGTTTGATTATTTACTGCCGTCTACTCCTCCTGGACATGCTTGCTTCTTTTCGTTTTAGAGCTTTCTGGTTTACTGTTAAGTTGCTAGTATGAGACGTCTCCAGTTTTTGTTGTTGTTGTTTTAATTTTTGGTTGTTGTTTGGATTTTTTTTCTTTAATGTAGGTACTTAGTGCTATGAATTTTCTTCTTAGCAGTGCTTTAACTGTGTCCCATAAGTTTGGGAATATTGTGTATTCATTTTCAATGATTACTAGAAAGTATTTAACTTCTTTATTTTGTTTCTGTCTTGACCCAATTTTTTTGAGTTCTTATTAAGAATTTTTTTATTCGGTGACACGTGACCTGCAGGTGTTCCTGTCCCAAGTCTTGTACCACAGGGCCATAGTAGCACCCACTTTAAAGGGTGTGAGGAATAAATGAGAAATGCCCATACAGAGTGTTTTTATAAAGAGTTTAGCCTCCAGGAAAGGCGCAAAGCTACACAGAAAAACCCTGTCTCAAAAAAAAAAAAAAAAAAAAAGTTTAGCCAGGAAGGTGGTGGCACACGCCTTTAATCCCAGCTTTCGGGAGGCAGAGACAGGCGGAACTCTATGAGTTCAAGGCCAGCCTGGTCTATAGAATAAGAATACAGCATGCTTTTAAATGTTACAGACTGGAGAAAAGTGAGGGGGGGGGAGTCTAAACATGAAGCCATTTCTGACCACGTGTAGGTTACTTAGAAGTTTAAACAGATTTTCTGTAAAACCAAGCCCTCTTGTGAGTCTCTCCACTTCCTCTTATTTGTGTGACCAGAAGAAAAAGAGCTCTTATGAAGCGGTAGACCAGGCCAAGTATTCTCGTTTAGTATGGTCCGTCTTGTCCAGAGCCCCGGTCCAGACCCTGGAGTCATTGTTTGAGGAAGATGATGTACTCTATGGTCCAGTTGGTAAGCGTAAGGCTCCAGGGCAAGAGCAGAGGGCAGGAGTTCCACAGAACTGGTTTCCTATATTCAATGAAGAGAGAAATATGAAACCACACACAAGTGTTTCTTCAGGTCCTTTGAAGATCCCTTTGCAAAGAAATGTGATACCCAGTGTGACACGCATCCTTCAGCAGACCATGACACCAGAACAGAGTTTCTTTTTGGAAAGGTGGAAACAACGGATGGTTCTGGAGCTGGGAGAAGATGGATTTGCAGAATATACTTCAAATATCTTTTTACAAGGCAAACAGTTCCATGAAGCCTTGGAAAGCATACTTTCACCCCAGGAGAACTTAAAAGGGAGAGAAGAGCACCTCCAGTGTGGCTATATCAAAAGTGTCCAGCATATTTTGAAAGAAATCAGTGGTGTGCAAGCTCTGGAGAGTGCTGTCAAGCACGAGGTCTTGAAATATGTAGGGCTGATGGACTGTGTGGCTGAGTACCAGGGCAAGCTGTGTTTGATCAATTGGAAGACACCAGAAAAAACAAAACTTTTTATTCGGAATACGTACGACAACCCACTACAAGTTGTGGCGTATATGGGTGCTGTAAACCATGATGCTCACTACAGTTTTCAGGTTCAGTGTGGCTTAATTGTGGTGGTCTATAAAGATGGGTCCCCTGCCCACCCTCACTTCATGGATGAAGAGCTCTGTTCCAAGTATTGGGCCAAGTGGCTTCTTCGACTAGAAGAATATGCAGAAAAACAAAAGAATCAGAGTATTCCAAAGCCAGTCTAGAGGCCAGGATATTACTTGGGAACATTCAGTGAATCTGAGAGTTATGTTAGCACAAACTGAAGATGTAATTTGTTGGGATGTATTGCTACTGAGAAGCCAGAAAGTCCAGAAGTCAGCACTGGACCAGTTGTCATACCTCTGACTGCTACCTACCTAAGAAGAGGGCACACAGGATTGGTAGTCACCTTGGTGACTTCTGGACTCTCTTGCAAATCTTTTTGTGTCCCTGACAGAATGCCTAGTCTTTGAATTGAGATCAGAAGGCAGTGAAGCTTCATGTGCCAGGCATGCCCCTAGGGTTCTCAGGGAGGGGAGGGGTCACACACTGCCAAGGTGTATAGAGGGAGAGCACATCAGCCATCACCACTGTAACAGATTCCTACAAGGTGCTTTATACAGTAGGACTCCTATATCATTAAGGGAAAGCTTCTTCTTAGCATTGAATTCATTCACATGTGATTGTTTGGCCCAGAGTAAACCTGGCTGCCTAGAAAGCTGGAACACTCAGCACATCATTGACCAGATCCTTTTCCATACAGATAAGGCCCAGCAGTGGTCACCATTGTTAGGGCTTTAGTACCTTGTTTCTGATGTCAGTCAGCAGGCCATGTACCAGAAAAAAAAAATACTGCTGTGGGGTTTTTCAACTAAGAGCAACACTGATAATCCATTTTTTCCCTGTTTTTGTTAGGTAATCATTGGTTGTCTTTGAATTTGGGAGAGTTAAATAAATGCCATTATTTCCCTGGGAAAAAAAGAAATTTTTTATTCATTCCACATAACAAGGACAGATCCCTTCCTCATCCCGCCTCGCGCTCCCACTACCAGTCTTTCCCTCCAGCCCACAGTCCATCCCCTCCTCCAAAAAAGTATGGCCTCCTGCCTCTGCCTCCTTCAGCAAATCCTACCTGTGTGCACCACCACAACCGGGCAGTGGTGGCACACGCCTTTAATCCCAGCACTCAGGAGGCATAGGCAGGTGAATTTCTGTGAGTTTGAGGCCAGCCTGGTCTCCAAAGCAAGTTCCAGGAAAGGCCCAAAGCTACACAGAGAAATCCTGTCTCAGAAAAACAAATAAAAGTATGGCTTCCCATGTGGAATCAGCAAGGCCTGACACATTCACCTAAGGCAGGTCCACGCCTCTCCCCCTGCATCAAGGCTGTGCAAGGTGTCCAACCATAGACAATGGGCTCCAAAAAGCCAGCTCATGTGCCAGGGATAGGTCCTATTCCCAATGTCAGGGACCCTTCAGACAGACCAAGCTACACAACTGTCTCATCCATGCAGAGGGCCCAGTTCAGTCCCATGCAGGCTCCACAGCTGTCGATTTAAAGTTCATAAGCCCCCAATAGCTTGGTTCAGTTATATCTGTAAGGTTCCCCATCATGGTCTTGATGCCCCTTGCTCATAGAATCCTTCTTCCCTCTCTTTGACTGAACTTCTAGAGCTTGGCCTGGAGCTAGGATGTGGCTCTGTGCATCTGTTTCCATTAGTTATTGGATGAAGGCTCTATGATGACAGTTAAGGCATTCACCAATCTGATCACCAGGGTAGGCCAGCTCAGGCACCCTCTCCACCACTGCTAATAGTCTAAGCTGGGGTCATCCCTCTGGATTCCTGGGAACTTCCCTCACACCAGGTTTCTCCCTATCTCTATAATGTCTCTCTCTATCAAGATATCTCCCTCTCTCATTCTGCTTCTGTTCCATCTCAACCATCCCATTTCCCCATGCTCCCATCCCTCATCCCCTACCCTCCATTGCTCCCCCTCACCCCCAGTTTACTCAGGAGATCTCATCTATTTCCCTTTCCCAGGATGTTCCATGTATCCCTCTTAGAATTCTCTTTGTTACCTAGCTTCTCTGGAGCAGTGGGTTGTAGTCTGGTTATCCTTTGCTTTATTTCTAGTATCCACTTATGAATGAGTACATTTGTCTTTATGAGTCTGTATTACCTCACTCAGGATGATATTTTCTAGTTCCATCTATTTGCCTACAAATTTCATGATGTCATTGTTTTTTACTGCTGAATAATGCTCCATTGTATATATGTACCACTTTTTTTTAATCCATTTTTTGGTTGAGGGGCATCTAGGTTCTGGCTATTACAAATAATGCTGCTATGAACACAGTTGAGCAAGTGTCCTTGTGGTATGATTGAGTGCATTCCTTGGCTATATGCCCAGGAGTGGAATAGCTGGGTCTTGAGGTAGATTTTCTGAAAAACGGCCATACTAATTTCCAACAGTGGAAGAGTGTTCCTATTGCTCCACATCCTCTCCAACATAAGCTGTCATCAGTGTTTTTGATATTAGCCATTCTGACAGGTGTAAGATGGTATCTCAGCATCATTTTGATTTGCATTGCCCTGATGACTAAGGATGTTGAGCAATTCCATAAACGACTTTTGGCCATTTGAGATTCTTCTGTTGAGCTCTGTAGCCCATTTTTTAATTGCATTGTTTGGTATTTTGATGTCTAGTTTTTTTAGTTCTTTATATATTTTGAAGCCCTCTCTCAGATGTGAGATTGGTGAAGATCTTTTCTCACTCTGTGGGCTATCGTTTTGTCTTATTGACTGAGTCCTTTGCCTTGCAGAATCTTCTCAGTTTCAGGAGGTCCCATTTACTGATTGTTGCTCTCAGTGTCTGTACTACTGGTATTATATTTAGGAAGTGGTGTCTTGTGCCAATGTGTTCAAGGCTACTTCCTACATTCTCTTCTATTAGTTTCAGTGTAATTGGATTTATATTGAGGACTTTGATCGACTTGGACTGGAGTTTTGTGCATGGTGATAGATATGGATCTTTTTGCAATCTTCTACATGTTGACATCCAGGTATGCCAGCATCATTCATTGAAGATGCTTTCTTTTTTCCATTGTACGGTCTTGGATTCTTTGTCAAAAATCAAGTGTTCATTGGTATATGGATTAATGTCAGGGTCTTCAATTAGATTCCATTGGTTCACATGTCAGTTTTTATGCCAATATCAAGCTGTTTCTATTAATATAGCTCTACAGCAGAGCTTGAGTTGACTCAATTTTTATTCAGTAGAAAGTTGAACAGTTTCCATGAGTTTGTAAGTTTTCTCTTGTTTCAGTTGTTGTTGATATCCAGCTTTAATCCATGGTTGTGTGATATAGGGAGTTATTTCAATTTCTTTTATTTATTGAGATTTGCTTTGTGTCTGAGTCTCTGGACAATTTTGGAAAAAAATCTATGATGAGCTGAGAAGGTATATTCTTTTGTGTTTGGTGCAGTGTTCTGTAAGTATTGGTTAGCTTCATTTGGTTTATAATGTTAATTACCTCCACCATTTCTCTGTTTAGTTTTTACCTGCATGCCATGCCCATTAGTGAGAGTGGGGTATTGAAATCTCCCCCAATCAGTGTAGTGGTTGAATATGTGATCTAAATTTCATTGATGTTTCTTCTACAAAAGTGGGGGCCTTTGTGTTTTTGGCATAAATGTCAAGAATTGGAATGTCATCTTGTTGGATTTTTCCTTTGATGAAAATGTATTGTCCTTCCCCATGTCTTCTGATTGATTTGAGTTTGAATTCTATTTTGTTAGATATTAAAATGGCTCCAATAGCTTGCTTCTTAGGTCCATTTGCTTGGAATACCTTTTTCCAAACCTTTACCCTGTAGAAATAACTATCTTTGATGTTGAGGTGTATTTCTTATATGCAGCAGAGGAATGGATCCTGTTTTTGCATCCATTCTGTTAATCTGTGTCATTTTATTGGAGAATTGATGTCACTGATATTTAGAGATATCAATGATCAATGATTGTACATTTTTCTTATTTTGCTAATGTTTTTGGTGGTGGTGGTCTTGGTGGTGGTACTGGTGGTGGTGGTGTGTATGTGTTTCCCTTCTTTTTTGTTTTGCTGGTGTGAGATATTTAATTCTCGTGTTTTTACATGTGTAATTAACCTCCCTGGTTTGGATTTTCCTTCTAATGTCTTCTATAGGGCTGTATTTGTAGACAGTTTTAATTTAACTTTATCGTGGAATATCTTATTTTCTCCATCTATGCTAATTGAGAGTTTTGTGGAGCATAGTAGTTTGGATTGGCATCTGTGGTCTCTTAAAATTTGTATCACATCTGTCCAAGCCCTCCTGGCTTTTAGTCTTTATGGAGAAGTCAGGTGTAATTCTAATAGGTCTGCTTTTATACATTCCTTGGTCTTTTTCCTTTGCAGATTTTAATTTCTTAATTTTGTTCTGTATGTTTAGTGTTTTGATTATTTGGTTCCATGATGACTTTCTTTACTGGTCCAGTCTATTTTGGTGTTCTGTAAGCTTCTTGTACCTTTATAGAAATCTCCTTCTTTAGGTTAGGAAAATTTTCTTTCTTTTATGATTTTGTTGAAAATATATTCTGGACCCTTGAATTGGTATTTTTCTCCTTCCTGTATTTTGGTTATTATTAAGTTTGGCCTTTTCATAATGTCCTAGATTTCCTGGGTGTTTTATATATGGAAATTTTTAGATTTATCATTTTCTTTGACCAACTTATGTATTTATTTGTGGTATCTTCAATGTCTGAGACTCACTCATATTCTGTTGGTGAAGCTTGCCCCTGTAGTTCTTGTTCACATTCCTAATTTTTTTTACTTCCAGAATTTCCTCAATTTCTGTTTTCTTTATTGCTTATATTTCCACTTTGATATCTTGAATGTTGGGTTTCAAACCTGTGACAAATGGCCAAGGTGCCTATTTAATATATCAAAGAAGACCTGGCCAGCAGATTCTCTCTGCATCATCAGTCTCCACCTGTTACAGGGCCCTTCTGGCTGGCATAAGCAGCCCCCTACCTAAACTTCTCAGCCCTAGAGTGCTGGGCTTCTCTTCCTTACATTATCCAATCATTTTGGTTATCTATTGTCTTTTTACTTTTAGGCCTCCTGGCTGCTGCACCTGGTCTACTGTTCTCCCTCTCCCTTCGACTTCACTTCCCATCTCAGTCTGGTCATGTCCACTCTGGACTCTACCAGATGTCCCTGTCTTTGACTATTTCTCCATTTTATCTACAATAAACTTTCTTCACCACACCTGGGAACAGTCATGTTCCTTTCCTTTTTATTTATTTATTTTTCATTCATTGAACA